CTTTCTGGTTGGACCTGCGACTGGGCACGGAGGAATTGCTGGACGCATATCCTGTCCAAGATGAGCACCGTCCCTTTGCCAATGTGGCCTGTTGGCGGACGGAAAATGAAGGAAGCATTTGTTCAGGTCACGCAGGCCGTGTGGCTGCGACCGCCCGCCGACGCGCAGACAACCACAAGTTGTCGAAGATGGACCTGGTGATGCTGAGGCTCCTGGCAGCGATTGTGTCCTGCCATTCAGGTTAGGGCCAAGCCCATGCACCGGTGATCATCTAGTGATGTCTCCCTTGAAAAAGGGGAGTTGCGTTCGCTATCCGACGCGTGCTGATGTTATTGAGAGGCAAATCTACCTCGCTAATTAGCTCCGTCATCTTCGCGTCCCCCAAACTGATGTTCTCTGGTTCATTGGCCGCAGTCGCATCGTTGATTCGAGGACGCGCGTACTCTGGCTCAATTTCTCATGCAATGATTCGGCATTTTCGTGCTAGGGCTTGGCTCAATCCGTCCGATAGTCTCTCTCTGCGGCAGGATGAGTGTTCGGTCAACCAATCAGCGCCGAGCAATGACCCACCCTAGTCACCTGCCTCGCTTTTATTTAAGAGGATGGACGCAGTGGGTGGTATATGCGTGTTTTTGCTAACCACATCAGACACCCAGTGTATTCAATAAAACTGTACCCCTGGTAGCATGACATGACAGGTTCCTAGCTGTGGCAGCCGACTCGTTTGAACTTAGTGAAATAGAGGGGCTGTGCACGCTCTAGGGTTTACCCCCATGTTTCGTTTATGTTTTTGGTTGCTTCGTTTCCTGGGCTTTAAAGCCCCCTGTCCTGCCGCGCAGATGAAGAATACGAGCCTGAGAACGAGGGTCTGGGGGCTGTATTCGGCCAGAATGAAGCAGAGGGAAAGAGCTTTGCCAGCATGGAGTGAAGTTTCACTTGGTATGCCACTCCATAAGTAAAGGTGTTCAAGAATTGCGGAGCACACCTCCTGGCTCAAGGCTGGACTACTTTTCTTCTACAGCCGCCCACTGCTACAACGTGGGTTACCAACCAACCCGTCCACCTCCGCGGATCGCAAGGCGAGTCAGCAAAGCTGGTAGCAAAGCAAGATCGGCCTTAATGTCCACTTGTGTTTGGTGTTTAACCTTGCCACTCACTCCTCACGTTTTTCTCACCTTGTCGTTTTGTTTCATTTGCAATCTCATGTCTATATTCTTTTGGATGTACTCACGTATCGCGACCACTTACTTGGACCTGACGCCATTTTTGCCATTGGCTGTGAGACATACTCATAGTGTTAAGCGTGCGCGTGGAAAACCCTAAGGTCGAATTGTCTGTCTGAAGGACAGAGGCAGCATCAATTTGTTTTTCAAACTCCAACGTGAGCGCAAATTATAGGGGTAATGCCTGGTCAGGTATGCCAACCATAGTCAATTCCCTTTGGCAAAAACGCCAGTCGCCCCTAGTCAAAAGATGTCAAAAGAACCTCGAACAGGGCGACTGCAAAAATGCGCTCAACTGTTGGGCTATCTGAAGACCTAATTACTACTTCTACATGGCCACCTCCACACAGTACATGTGTGACATATTCGCATTGCTACTTCTATGGCTACATGTCACTCTTCTTTTATTGCGTAGTACACGTGTGACGTGAAAACCAACTACTTCTACATGAGGGGTATGCAGCGTGTAATTCGCATCACTATGTTTCACTTTCTTTGGGCGACGCTCGTCACACTCATTCCTACTCGTACCAACCATTCAAGCCGTTCTCATGTCCACAGGCTCGAGAGCGCAAAGGAATTTATGCGCAGCGTATGTAGTACAATAGTTGTGATAGTTCCATGGATTTTGTGGATGAAGGACTGTGGGTTGCACGTATGTGATTCTTTGCGCCCGGCTGAAGAGGACACCTGCGGATCGCAAAGAGGATCGGCAACGTTCGCGTCGTGACAAGAAGATGCTTGAAGCTGAAGAAGCTGAAGCGAAGGACTGAAAAGCTAAATTCTTAGGCGCTCGGGCCGGGCGGTATCATTCTTGATGATCTTGATGTTGGATGCCATTCGCCTGCTGACGGCTGCCTTGATCCTTTCACAACCAACTGCTCAAGGGCCTATCTGGGAAAAGGAACTGCCAACCTGTTCTTGCTTATCCATCCCCCCTGAAAAATTCCTCTATGAAATGAGGGCCTCGAGGCCTTACGTATATCAGCAGGTCAATTGGTAGACAACTCGTTTTTCGCTCTACAAAATGACAACCCGTTTTACTTCCACGTCATTTATCTACTAGAGAGTGGTCTTTTAGGGTCAACCCACACCCCATGTTGTAGACAAAACTTGGCGTCAGGGCTACATGTTCATGGTGAACGCTGAAACAGAGTTGTTAGCCCTACTTCTGTTGAGTCTTGGGACTGGTCAGGCGGGTCAGGTCTGCACGCGCCATCACGCGCCGTCGTTCGGTCGTCGACTTTGGAGCCTTTGGTAGCCTTTGAAACTGTTAAAACCTAGAGAATTTTGGAGCCTTTTCTTGGTGCCTTTATTCAGAAGTGTTTTTTTGTTTTTGTTTTTGGATTTATGATTGGGCCGCCGGCCGCCTTGCAAATTAACTGTTTTACTCAGGCAGCTCTTTCACTTAGGTTTCAGCTAGGGATTGGGCAACCTTCGTGCGTACTGTATGTATCACATGTGCATGCAGATGCCTTGTTGCTCCTTCTGCGTGGTTGTGTTGAGCCTGTGGCAAGGGTCGCAGGCTGCATAGGGACAAGTCCTCGAAAGAGAGTGGAACACATAACACAACTCTTGTCCAAATCTTGTGTGGTATCCCTGCGAGACAGAAGGTTTCCTTGCACAAGAGACTCGAATGGGCAAGATTCTGATTATGAAGAGCTTGCTGGAAAAAAAAGGATCAGAAAAGGTATCTGATAGACATGCTTGCTCGGAGGAAGTGGCGAAGCGAGCCGAGCTACGGACGAGTTTCTCTCTTGCATTGATAGACACAGTACAGTACCCCACCACCCTTCTGCAGCCCTGACCATGTGCTATGATTCGTGCTGAATTCTGCACCTAGCCTACATTTCGCCTTGTTGCTTGGATGTCTCGAGTAAACTCAGAGGGTACTAGTGTGTAGCGCGTGCATGCTACAGACATCCGTGTTTTCACAGCAACCATAGTTGCCAAGTTAAGGGCAGAACGAGCAAAATTCTTCGTGGTTCGGCTCTGCAACAGGAGGCACCGTTTTAGATTATACAGGCCAGCTAATTACGTATATAGTTTCACGTTGGAAAGTTGCAGAGCATTTAGCCGAGGATGGAAAAGAAGAAAGGGACAGACTGGGAGAGAGAGAGAGACAGAGAGAGAGAGAGAGAGATAGAGATGGAGAGCTAGATGGATCGAGTAAGTGTATCGGAGATCAGACGATTCTCAACGACACAGTGGAAAGGATCAGCCAAGAAAACTATTTGTTTTTGAGTTTGTGTGGCAAGTCTTAAGCAGACGCAGGCACAGAAGACTGGGATTTGGCCTCTGCCCCCTGGCCAAATCTGTGGCAAAAACGGAGCTGCTCTTCTTTCAGGTCAGATTTTTGAGCCTAAGTCTGGAATCAATTACGCTTAAACTAACAAAAGCCGAAGAATTCAGTGGTTATTGCCGGCTGTTGCCACGCTCAGGCTCCTGAGGACTGACTTCACATGATGCTGCATGTTTGCTGATATCGAACAAAGCTGCTCAGAAAGCTTTTCACCAGGAGTCAGAGGATTCACCTGTACAACGTCTTTCAGAGGCCTCGCAATGACTGTCAGAGCTTTCCACAAATGATTGTAAATGAAGCTGCGCAGATTGTAGGACCCTTTGTTGCCGAGAAGGTGCTTTTTATCTAGCTAACGTAGATGATAGTGGATTTGGAAATCACTGAACCTCAGATGTCGGAGGTATTCGAAACAACAGAGGATAAAGACAGTAGTAGAGTGTTTTGCAATTGGGACATACAGACATACACAAAACATGTGTATACATTTGTGACATTTTGCATGATGTTCAAGCCAGGTAAGCTCCATTTACCTCCAGGAATTCTCCGACCTGTTGGACCCGTTTCAACCTAGAACTCCACGCTGCGCCAACACTTGCTTGCTACAACTGCTTCTTCATATTCCTCCCGTCAGATTCCTTTTGGCACTTCAGTGGTAATCATATCGCGCAGCAAGCTTTGCTAATCTTTCCCGCGGCTGTGAATGGAATGGCATCCACCCGTGCACAAGGGGTAAACATGTCCTTATATATATATAGTATATGCATTATACACTCTACTCTGCAATTTCTTGCTAATGAAAAGAAGTCCAAGGATTGTTACAAGGATAATTTATGTATTTTTTCTGATTTGATCTACTTGGATTCTGCAGATTAGATCGATCCGGAAGCTGGCGCCTCCACCGAAGCGCGGCATTGGCGTGTGGGGAAGCTCAGCTGAAACCTTGTAGCGCAACAAAGAATCCCAAAGCCCCAGCCCTGCTTTTCTCATGACAATGTCAACCATGCAAAGGATGTCAAAGCCTTGAAGCCTGAGACAAAGAACATACGCATGGTGCACCATGTTTCGCAACTGATATGTCATGTCAATTGTTTGCACCAACTCAGTCACGTCACATCCCTATGTGACCACCCCTCTCACGCATCAACTTCTGCAGTTGCTTTGCCCAGGTGACCTGGTCGCGATTGAATACTTGGCATTGGCACTTGACAGCTATGTTTGCTGCCTTGACAAATATTCTCCGAATCTTGACAAACAGAGGTGAAGCCTCCTGTCAAGTTGTACAGACAATAGACTTGATAGGGATTCAGAGCCCAATGATGAGTTGCTCTTGTGACGACAGCAAACCATGTGCCATGGAGATATGCATTGTTATATATTAATTACATATTACAATATAACAATATATATATATATATTACATTGTTATTTGAAACAGTGAAACATGGTTCCCCGCTTCGGAAGATCCCAGAGTTCAGGCTCATAATGATCACCCGCAGCAGCTGCAGTCCCGCCTGAACCTGCAGCACCTTGGCGTTGCAAGGGAACTTGCAAATTTGCAAAGGGACCTTTTTCACTACTGATGCATTTCTTTCATGAAAACTTTGACACGTATTCGATGTACTTTGATTTGGGCACTCTCAAGGAAGGACTTGATGTCTAGTGGTTGGCAAGCTCTACGACCTGGTGGCCTGCTTGTTTGATCCTCAACAAGCTTCAACCATTGAGTGTTTTTGTAAACAGTACATATTCTGTATGACATGTTTCTGAAACATGTTAGCAGCTAGCACATTATTTTTCTCAGACTGAATCACTTTGGCGCTCTCGAGGTATATTCGACTTGCACACTCAATCATGAAGAAAATGAAAGACAGCGAACACCTCGGAGCTGAAGCGGCAATGCCAGGAGCCCCTAATAGCTTCCTTGCTCCTAGTAGCGATGCCAGGAGCCCCTAGTAGCTTCTTGTTCCTAGTAGTAAGGCCAGGAGCCCCTAGCAATGAGTACCGCAACATGATTTGACACGTGAGGAGTGTTCACGATCGTTCTCTAGCGATGCAAGGTGCTGTCAGCTGCAAGAACAGGGTGCACAGGTAGTCCGCTTGGATGAACAGTGTGAACCTTAGTCTTGGGGGCATCAGTGGCATCAGCTAGCCTGTGCAGGCTGACACTGATGGTGCAAGAACCCCTTGCAGTTCTACAGAAGCCAGACAGCTTTGTTGGGTTTGACTTCATGTATTTGTGGAGGATAGTAGGGCTTCAAAAACACGAGTAAATTTGAACGTAGGCACGAGCGGAATTGGTTCCATTTCTCCGGACTCGATAAGTGGCTAGTTTGGAACAAGGTTGCCAACTCTCCCCATTTACTGCCGCAACCCTTGGGAGACTGGTTGAATTGGAAAAGGATGTGGTTGCACATCAGGTGAGCTTGGAATCATCCAGTTGGTCAAACATGGTGTCTGTATTGTTTCAGCTGTGCTTTGGGAGAATGATTCTGAGTCCATGTTCAAGGAAGCATATTCATGTCATGTGTGGTATTTTTGCTGCCTTCACGGGAACACGAGCTTGGATTCAGGCTAGTGCCCTCAACGCCTGAAGGCTTCCTGCGGGTCTTGGACCTGGTTATATCAGTGTGGTTGGACTTGAAGACAAGAGATGTACACAGATCAGATCAACACACAATAGTAGTTCCTAATCAACATGCTCTTTCTCTCTTTGTCTCTCTCCCTTTCTTGTAATTGTACTTGTACATATACATCCCGGTGGCGTGTGTGTTTATGAGCCGCGGTCATTGTTGTGCGGTCCACGAAACCTGTGTTTTAAGCATTTGTTTCATGCTAGCACCATCGTTTGAGGTGGAATTTACAGTGGGATTCGACGAAACGATGGTTTCGCCTCAGTGCCGTTGTCATATTCTTGTTTCAGGGAGAGGATTTGTCTCGTGGCTAACATGTGTACCGTTTTCCTTTTTCAACTCAAGGCTGTCCCAAGACATCAGCGGTGAAACGCATCAAATTTGTTTCACGCTTGTGGCAGTAGCGCCACTGAAACTTCAAGTCGCATTGTTCGAGTTTCTCGGAATCGCTGTGAACACTGGGAGTATCTCGTTTCAGCAACACTTTCCAGACACTGTCAATGGTGCCTGTCAACATAATCTCCATTCCCGAGACGCTCTTTATGATTGCACTCTCCCTTAGCATGCGACATGCTTCCGTGCAACAGTCCAACCTCCTTTGCAAGCCGTTTTTAGCCAGCAGCGCCATCGGTGCAAAGCCAAGTCAACGACAGAGACAGAACTTCAGTGGGGGTTAACGACCGCATGGCCATTCCAAACCCGAAAACCAGGGATCTACAAAGGAACCACGAATGACGCAAGACAACAATAAAACAATCAAAATCAGCGACGTGAGAAGACGAGTGGGAAACCAGTCACTGTGTCCACAGACTATCATAGACTCCTTAACATACAACAGTCATGGATCACGTTTCACCAAATGATCATCGTGAAACGATTCCCCACCCCCTGTGATCTTTTTTTGTGTTTCCCCTAGGGGTATGTATGTAGGTGTATCTACGCAATGTACTTAGTATACACTCTTTTTCATTCGTTTTCCGTTAGTCCGTACTATACTTACTTTGTTTTGAGCATTAATTCGACGCCTTGCATTTGGCTCAAGGCCCCATGGGGACGCTTTCGCACCTCCGCCGTTGAGAGAAAACGTGCTCACCCTCGTTCGCAAGTTGAGGGCAGTCAGTGGTGTGTTCGATCAGGTCCAGTGCATACTGCCACTTTGGGGACTCTACCCCCTCACCCCCCCACCCCCACCCCACCCCACCCCGCACCCACCCGCGGATTGACAAGTAGAAAGTTAATGAACATATTAGACTAGACGTGGTGTCGAAGTTGAAAGTTGTAAAACGTAGTCGGTGCGACTACGTACACGTTCGGCTTTCAATCCGCAAGCATATACATGTATGCTGCGAAGGTTGTGATTACGCTGTGCTGTAATTACATGATTCCATGGGTCTTGTTAGTCTTTGTTTCAATCACCTTCAAGCAGCTTCGATTGTTGAGGTGTGGCCTCACTGGTTGGACGTCGAAGGCTTCTTTGTGGCTTGCTTCTACAAGGCCGCGCTGCTTCTACAAGACAGTGAGAGCAGAAGAAGAGAGGGCCTAGCCAGGAGACTACTCATGTGGATCCGGCTGCACAGATGGATTGTTTGAGTCTTGGCAAGATGGGTTTTCGCAGGCCAGGCCACATGTTTTTCCAAGCTATCCTTGATGTGTTCAATATGTGTTTTCTCTACGCTCCTTTCAGTGCAACATTCTCGTGGGAAGGCTGAAGACATCGGAAGTAGCTGGGCTGCAGGAGCGAGTGTTGCAGGACTGGGAACTTGACACAAGCATTGCAGACAGGTTGCTTTTTTGCCAATGCATTTGTCATTTTGGGGACAGGAGCTTCACTTCTCTTTGCCTCCAGGCATTCCTGTGATGGACAAGGAGGAGGATGTTTTCCTGTTGACAAAACGGTTGTTTGAAGCTGAGTTTTCGATGTATCTCCGGTATCAAGCTAACTCCGAGAGAAATTAGCAGACCCAAACCGAGGCCGTTGCTGCAAAAGTTGCTGCCGCACACGCTCTTGCCGGGGATAAGACTCCTGTCGAAGCAGCAGATCAGCAAAGAGCTCCGTTTGGCGTGGTTGCCTAGCTGGTTGCTCGGTGACGCCACTGCACATTGTGATGCCGGAGAGTTGTTGAAGAAGCATGAAGAAGCAGCAGGGACAGCAGAGTGGTGCGCTCAAAACAATTGTTGGAACCTGTGTTAGGAAGCCATACTTGATGTCAGAATGCATGCCAGAACACATTCCAGAAGACATCAGAACAAGTGCAGGAGCACTTGTCAGTCGAATGTTGGAATGCCAGAACACCATGTCAGAACATAATGTTGTCACATATCAGAACAAAGGTCGGAACGCTTGTGAAACGAATGCTAGAGCAGTTGTCAGAACACATGCCAGAGAACAAGTCAAAATGTCGGAACACTTGACAGACAAGTGTTGGAACAAATGCTAGAATACACGCCAGAGCACATGCCAGAACACATCAGAACAACTGTTTGAAACCTGATGCCAGAACAAATGCTAGAAAGTGTTAGAATATGCATGCTGCATGACGGAACACAGAGCAAATGTCCGAACATATGTGAGTCCGAAAGGAAGATTTGATGGCAGAACATGGCAGGACACGTGTCAGAACAAATGTCAGAACACAGAACCGAAGTCATATGTCGCAATGGCAGGGCAAATGTCCGAGCGCATGCTTAAGAGGATTATATAATGACTTCGGTAACCCTGATTACACACCAAGGTGGTAAATGAACTTTTGTTTGTGTGATTCGAGGCAGTTGACAGTAGCCGTAGGACAATCAAGCCTGAATGGCGCATTTTCCGGCCATAAACCAGGTTGCAAAATGCGAGACACCCTTACATTCAGCAACAAAAATTGATTGACCAACAAGAGTGCGTGAACGCTGGTAGCTCACCAAAGGCATCACAAATTGACAAAGTTCCCGGATGTGTAACGTGGTGCCGTGCAGAGAGCAACTACTGACGGTCATTCCATTGTTAGTGATGTTTCACCATCTAGAAAGGTGATCTTAAAAAGGTTTTGATTGAACGATTGCCACATACTTCCCAGAACTTGTCCTGAGATTCCTGTTTTGTCCCTTAGCAGGGCGTTGAAATAATCATCCTGGAGGGGAAACAATGAAACAACGAAGAAAGGGCCAGGCCTTTCGGGCCTTTCTTCGCGTATTGCCCAATCTTCCAATCAGGTCGCTGGCGGCAACCTTTCCTCAGAGGATTCAGAGCCGTGTCAGTGTTTGTATGAAACATTTATGTTCTTTAGACCTGATGGAAAGACATTGTGCTTTACGTTTAATAGATTTCACCAACGCAAGGAGAGTCACCGGCAATCACTTAGAACATATTTGGGAAGATAACATTTTGCTTGGAGCAGTTTGCACGCGCGCTTTTCACTCACCTCACAATGCAGTGTGGACTCCCTTTATATATTGCCACGAGTGTCCCTCACGTAGTGTAGGCACGAGTTTTTATGCTCAATGCCTTTTTGTTCTCAAGGCTTCAAGTGGGTGCCTTCGGGCGGCAGGGCCGCCTGAGGGCGTGATGCCGGGTCCTTGGATCAACCTACCAAGGAACCCGGATTACTACAAGGAGCTCAGTGTAGCCGAAGGAGGTTACATTGAGCTCGAACAATTCGGATGGAGATGGTCAGCCACTACAGACCGCATTGTGGCAAATAGACCACATGTTGGAGAAGAAGAAGGAAGGGCTCTGGTTGAATGGTAGACTCATCGCAGCGACCGATGAGCACCTGCAGTGGTGGCTGAGCAAGGGGCCAGGAAAGGCCTACAAGCGGAGCTTCGTGATCCATTTGTGTCTTACACCTGCGGGCGAGTGTCAAAAGACAAAGCGCCGCCATGAGAAGGAATTTCACTCGGACACCTTCCGCGACACTCAATCGGGGGATATCTTGGCCCGTAGGGTAGCTTGGTTTTCGGGCGCTGACGTGAAGGACGACATTGACAGAGAGATCGCTGCCTTGGGGGGAACCGCCGGTCCCTATATGATCCTGCAGGAGCTCGAGGATTAGGAGCGCCGGGCCCCGGTCATCTCGATTGGGAAAAGGATGAGGAGCCGATCGCATCAGGGGCGCATATTGGTAGGCTGGCAGCTTTGAAGAAAACCGTGAGCGGTAAAGATGAAGGTGGTGAAGGTCGTCGAGATGAGACGAAGAAGAGGAAGCGTCACGCAGAGGGTAATGCTGAAAAGAAGAAAGATCGTGACAAAGTTGCGAAAAGGGGTTGGACATCCACAAGAAGTTGACTCGGGCAATGACAGCTCGAGTAGCATGGTGATTATCCCTGCGGGGAAGGTTGCTGGAGAGAAAGCCGATGAGGAGGAGAGAGGACGATCGGCAAAGAAGCTCAAGCGCAAAGCAGGAAAACGGGCCCGAAAACCCTCGGCTTCGACAAGAAAGAAGAAGCAGGCAGATCGAGGCCCTTTTGATGTGGGACACCGCATCAAATTTGGAGAACGAAAATCGGATTCAAAGAGTTCGGACGATAGTGAAGATGCAGGTTCGGATTTTCGGGCGGGCCCCTCCACCAAATCGCGTCAACTGCAGCTTCAGGAGTACTCGGAACATCCGGGGCGATTGGCATCCTGACTGCTGCGGACGATGCAAGAGATCTTGGCTCGGCAGGAGGGGCCCATGCACGCAAAGACCGAGCGAAACCTGACCCCAGCCACAGCGACATCGTACTTCCTCACGGTGCTGATCCCTCAATATCGGGAAAAGATGAACTTGAGGACAAGTCGAGAACTAAGGACTCTGTGCAAAGCACTGGACCTGCTGGCCAGCGGCAACCCGGAATCAGCAGGCGACATTCTAAGTCACTCGAACTGTATACCTGTCCGACCAGGCATGGAGCCGTGCGCAACACCTGGAGCTGATTCCTCCCGTGGGAGTGAACTTAGTGGGGAAAGACGAGACACTGATGGCCACGAAGGAGCAGGCCACCGAGCGGAAGACGCGACTGCTGATAGCAGGGCAGCAGTGGAAACCCCAGGGCAAGGGGAAGAACGACTTCCACGAGAAGGGGAAAGGAAAAGGAAAAGAAGAAGGAAAGAAAGGGAAATCAAAGATGGAGAACGCGGCAGACACGCCCACGGCGTGATGACTTCATCGGCCAACACTGATGTTGAGGACGACACTCAGTTCGCTTCATCATTCCTCGCTGGCGCGCAGCATGAACCACCTTGAACCATGGGTCACTCGCCCGCGCGCGGGATCTCAGCCCTTGCTCCGGCATCTTGTCCGGCGGCAATGGCAATTTCTCAGGCTTCGCAAGAGCCTCTTTGGTTTCCTCTTTCAGGAAGCCTCTATCGGCTGGATTCCCGCTTGACCTGGCCGCGGCCATGCGGGGAGGACTCGTTCACAGATCAAGTCCTCAATATATTCAATCGGATTTCCTGAGTAATCGAACTTCTTTGAGTTCAGTAGTTTCTCACTTTCTCCAAGACTCTTCAGTGGTGTTCCCGAGATAATGTTACTCGTCACCACCTTGGCCATCTCACTGACCGCTGTGATCTGCAACTCCGACAACCCGTCCTTGAACGGCACGCAGATCGGTTTGCTCCAGCCCACGCAATAATGAAAATTGATGACGCATATAATGGCCTTGATCCACATCTCATTTCCCTCCGATACACCCGGAATATCCACTGTGATATTCCGCGGAGGAATAGGCAATGGGTCACCCGAGGTTCCCGCTTTGGAGTGAGTGTGATGGGGGGTTGCGCAGCCATGCAGTATAGGATCGAACAAAATTTCCCAGCGGGGTAGGACTCATCAGCATTAGTGCATATAGATGTTTCCCGAGATCTTGGAAGGTTGTGTTAAAGCTCTCTCACCATGAGGCTCCACTCCCTGATAGTCTCACACTCGTCAACATCCAGGTTGTGAAGATTGGTTGGGCGCGGGACAGGCAAGGACTTTTGATTACAAATGGAGCCGGTTGAGTTTTCAAGGAAAAGATGATTGACGGGAAACCTCACAAGTGCCAGCGGCTTATTTCAATCCTATGTCCAATCAACGCAGTGATGGGAGCCATCGGGCAACTCACTGGAATACTGTTGGAGGAAGATGAGGGACTGTACCTTGACACCTAGACGCTCCAATGATGTGCTTTGGACGCCGTTTCTACAAAGCAAGCCGTATGATGTCCTTTTCGAAAAATGATGCGTATATGACTTGCGAAATTGCTGCGTAAAACTGCGTAATGATGCGTATTGTAGCTCCAAGAGCGTCGTTTCTACGAGCGACGTCGTTAACCAAGAAATGATTCCTTCTGTTGAAAATGGTGTCCAAAGCGCGTCGTTGGAGTGTCTAAGCAGTGAGGACTCGACCTGCAATCAGCTTTCAATCTTTTCTCTATGCCGGACACCTGGTTGCCATACCTAGCCCAGGCACGCAAGTACGCCCCGCTCTTTGTGTGGTACCGATGGGGTGGCACTCAGCAGTTGCTTTGGTCCAGGAAGCGGTGAGCACCCTGGTGTTCGAGAGGGCGAAGATTCCGCGGCAATTTTCCATTGAGAAGCACTCCCGTCTGCCGGAGGAGAAGATCTGCACGATAGTGTACCTGGACAATTTTGACGAGATCCATGTGGTAAAGACCCTTGACATTGAGTTGCGACGAGAAGGTGCCGAGCTTTCGCCTCACCACTCGCAGTTCATTGCAGCCTGCAATGAGGCAATGAGGCAGGCTTGCCAACAAACCTGGGCAAGCAGCTGATTCATGCATTTGCCGGAGGCCTCCAAGGAGGTGAGCTCGACGGCCACCGGGGAGTTTTGAAGCTGGCGGGAGAGAAGCTTCGAAGCTACATCGAGTTGAGCCTGGCATTGCTGTCACGCCACCGGTGGTCTGAATTCTACCAACGACATTGGACAGGCAAAACGGCATTCATGGCAACCTTCAAGAGATCCATGTTTTCGGGTATTGCAAATGTCTTCGATGCCATTGAGAGGGCGCGAAAGGGGCCAATCAACCCGACGCCTGAGGTGATCGATGAGATCATGTGTCTGTTGGTGGAGTCACCAGTCACCGCTTGCCCAAGTGAATCTGAAAGCAAAGGTTTCCCCAGAGATAAAAGTCGCACCGATGCCTCCCCGACTGGCGGGGGAAGTGCCACAGTAACCGCTTTCAAGGCTGGACCGGATCCTCACGGCCCCATGATTAGCTTCGACGGAAAATGCAGCAACTGTGGGCGCGACTTCGGCACTCCCATCCCGACCAGAAATGGAGGAAGATCAAAGTATCCATGCCCGGTTGGGTGTGGTGCCGTGGTATGTTCAGTCAGATGTGCCATAGACCATCGCGAGCACGGGTGCGCCGGAGACATGTGCGCCTGCCCACTTTTCGGAGAAAGATTCAGCGGGCCACACCCTTTGACCAAGGCTGTGGCCATGACGGGCATTGGAGTTCAGCCTCCCTGGACCTGCTCGTGTCGGATGACCCGTGGGATTATTCAACTGCGGATGGAAAGCAGCGGCTGGACTCGTATGAAGTTGAACCATCTCTGGCACGCGAGCATTATGCGCCTGAATGCAAGACATTCTCAGCCGCGCGAGGCAACCCATTTCGGACCACATCCGGGCGATGGCTCTCGGGGCCTGGGCCCTGCGAAGTGCCTTGAAGCCATGGGGTCTCGACCACCTTAGCCCCCAGGAACAAGTACAAGTGTGACGTGGAATGCAATGACAAAGAGATCACTTATAAGAGGACTCAAGCCAGCTTTTGACAATGAGCGCCTGGCAGTGCTTGAGCATCCGTACAGTTCCCATCTATGGTCAACCCGGGAGGCAGTTGAGTTGGCCTCAACGGCGGGGCAAGAACAAAATGGACCAGCCTTCTGCGCAACATTGAAGAGCTGCGTACAGCCTTGCATCGCCCAACCTGCCCCGGGCGTGAAGGACTTCTCCCCTACAAGGTCCATGAGGAGGAGGGAGCACTACGCCGACGCTTTGACACAGAGCACGAGGCCGAATACACTTGGGGCCTGCGCCAAGCGTATGCAGTTGGATATAGAGGACTAGTGTGCCATTTGGTTTCACTCCTTGGGATCCGAAAGCAGCCATTTTGGCAGCGTTGAAGAGATCTGACGTCCGGTTTGAGGCTGCAGCTGAAGATGGCTCAGTCACCCTGATGGCACCCTACCCGGCCTTCAAGTGGCAATGGAAGACGAAGTTGTCTTACCCCTGGAAGCACTCGCAGCACATCTACGTGCTTGAAGTCTCAGCCTTCCTTGTCGAGTTCCGCCGTCGAGCGCGAGAGATTGCACAGCTCGGCGCGAGATTTTTCAACGTCACCGACAGCCAGGTCGGCTTCTTTACAAGGTCAAAAGGTCGGAGCAAAGCCCCTCGTTTGAACCGACTATTGAGAAGAATCAATGCAGTGATCCTCATGAGCCAGGTGATGCCAATCCATTTATGGACGATCTCGAAGTGGAACTTCGCCGACGCACCAAGCCGGCGATTCGAAGCGCATCGAGATGGCTTCCGCGGCTGAGGGGCAAAAACACTTGCGTGAGTTGGGCGTCGCCATTCGCGCATTGAGGATCTATAAGAGGGAAGTTCTCACTATTCCTGATTCCTGAGTTACCTTGATGCATGTTCAATTCCCTATCCTACTAGCTATCACACGTTGGACCTTGTCCTTGCCGAATACATTAATTGACTTTTCCAAGAAGGAGAACCCCTTTCACATGCCGGTTGGGTTCTGAGTGGGATGAAGCGGCTCTTCCCACGATGCCGCAAAGAGCTCCAAACCTCGCAACAATGGTTCACAAATTGGACTCGATCGCACGTTCCCCAGAGAGCCACACCGATCACATGGAATATGGTACAAGGGCTCGCAGGACTTTGTCTAGAACAACAGTGGTGTTCATTAAAGTTGACCCTACTTCTGACATTCGTCTTCTTTCTTCGCATTGGGGAAGCATTGAGTTTGACCTTTGATGACCTTGCACTGGATCCGACCTCCAAATCGGTCGTGTTGAATCTGGGTTACACCAAGGCCTCCAAGCAGTTTCAACAATTTCTTGCGCGTTCCGATGAGAACTTTTTTGTTTTGATTTCGTTCTTGGTTTCAAAGCTTGGCCCCACGGGGAAGATCTGGCCTTATTCTCTCAGTTGTTTCAGGACTTGCTTTTCAGGCCTCTGCAATTTCTTTGACCTTGCTTCTCTGCACCTTGTCCCTTATAGCCGCCGTGTCGGTGCGACACACTTTATGGAACTCAGAAGGCCCTTGATTTTTTGTCACGATTCAAGGACGGTGGAAAGACCAGCGTACTGCCAGACAATACTTGGATGACGCCCGGGCTACTTTGATCCCTCTTCATCTGTCCACTACTTCTTCTCTACTCTTGGCATCTTTTTGCAATTCTTTTCTGTCTCTGGTTACTTCGCTTCGCAAATGACGAGGTGTCTCTGGGCGGGGTGCTTGTGGTGTTCTCCCTTTTCTCTTTTTTCGACCCCTCTTTGGTTGGGCTGGTTGTGGTGTCTTCTTCTTTACCCTACTGTTCTCTTCAACTCAATTCACTCCACTTGCGGGTGTGCTGTGGTGTAAAGATGTCTGAGATTTT